CACACACACACACACACACACACACACACTCACACACACACACGCACATACACACCTCTCTCCAACTGCCTGTACCCAGACTCAAAACAATCACAGAAGGAGTGTTGCTATGAAAGACCCCATTATTGGGATTTTGTTTTAGTTCTGACATTTCTATTCAATTCTTTATAAAATCATTTTTATGTCTTTGTGGAAATTGTCCTTCTCTTCAGGTATGTTACCAATCTCTTCTACTAGATCCTCTGGTGGCCTTTTGAGTTTTTATTTTTCAATTATTTTAGGTTTTACAGAAAAGTTACAAGAATAGTAGAGAGCACCTGTACAGTCTCTCCTGATTCCTTTGATGTCAGAATTGTACAAGGATCAGAACTGAGAATTAACAGTGCTTTTAACAAAATGACAGGCTTTATTTGGACATCACTAGATTTTCCTAGTTGGACTTGCTGTTGTTGCTGCAGGGTCCAATCAGGATCTGACCTTGTGTTTCGTTGTCTCCCCAATCTCCCGAATTTATGATAGTTCCTCAATCATCTTTCCTTGTCTTTCATTACTTCCTCTCCTCCCCAGTTACTGAGGGTTGAACTCAGGGATGCTCTACTGCTGAGTTACATCCATGGCCCTTTTTATTTTTTGAGATAGGGTCTAAATTACAAAGGCTGGCCTCAGACTTATGATTCTGCTGCTTCAACATCCCAAGTAGTTGGGATTAGAGGTGTGCACCATATGCCTCCAAACTTGACAACTGTAAAGAGTGCAGGCTTTGTAGATTGTCCCACAATTGAATTTGTCTGATGTTTTCTCATGATTAGGTTTAGGTAATAAATTATCAGCCAATACTAGAGAAGTGATGTGCCTTTCTCAGTGTATTATAACAGCAGTGGGTAATATTGATGTACTTTTTACTAGTGACATTGACCTTCCTCACTTGTTAAAAGTGTTGACTTCAGGTTTCTCCACTATTAAGGAAATCTTTTTCTTTAAATTTAAAAAAATTTTAAGAAGATACCTTGAAACTGTGCAAATACCCTATTTCTCTTCAAACTTTTGAACACTAATTTTAACATCCCTTGAATAGCTCTTTCCTGTTATGTTCTAAGAACAATTTTCCATTTTTCTTATTCCTCCTATACTTATTAATTAAAATTTTGTCAGAAAGAGCAGCCTCTCTTCCCTCTCTTCTTTATTCAGTTATTCACTTTTGTCAGTAGAGACTCATGAATATGTATTTCATTCTATGGATTTTAATAAAACGCTATTATTTTATTATTTAAATGGCTCCAGCTTTGGCCATTAGAAACTATTTCAGGTTGATGTCTGTGTTTGGAGAATCCTACATCCTCCTTTGAGTATTTCGTTACTTCTTTGGAGCCAAGTTTTTGCCCAGTTTCATCATGTATTTGTCTTGCCCCAGCCTCTTTGTCTAAGAAGCCCTGATTCCTTTGGTGGAGAATGGAATTTAGATACCATGTTTGACTCTTGAGTGTTTGCCCCTACTGCCTTCAGACCCTCTCGGTGGATACATTGGAAATATATGTACTTACACTAACCCATTCATATGCATGTACATATCTCTCTCTTAATTTATGCACCTGTTGAGTATGCTTTTTTTAAAAAAAACATGAATTCATGCCAATTTCTCCAATTCTAATTCAGTGCCTCTCGATTCATGCTTGCCTTCCTCCTTTCCTAATTAATAACTTTGTCTTTGAGAGAAACTGACTTTCGTTTTATAAAAAATTATATATATATGTACACACACACACACACATATATATAATATATATAAAATATATTTATATATATATATTTGTTGTTGTTCAGCCCTAGTACACATACAAAGTGGTTTCAGGATTGCT